GGGATGAGTCGGTGGGAAGCCTGGCCCGTGTGTACGGGGCATTCAGGGCCTTCAACCCTGCCTGGGCCGAGACCCAGCTCCTCCTGGTGGGCCCCGGCCTCCCCCAGCAGCCAGCGCTCGCCCAGGCCTTTCCCACAGCGGAGGTGCAGCTCTCTGTCTTCCACCTCTGCAAGCACCTGCAGCAGCAGATCCAGCAGCTGGCCTTGGAGGGCCGCACCGAGCGACTGATCCTGGCCGCCCTGAGCGACACCATGTCCGCAGCTACCAAGAGCAGCCGCAGGAAGATGCACGCCCTTCTGAGGGACCTCGTGATGCCAGACTTGCCTCAGCTCCATATTCACTGGCTGCTCAATGATGAGGTCTGGGCCGCACACAGGGAGAGGAGTTGGGGGCAGAGCAGTGACTACTTTAGGGACCTGGAGTTGGTCACCCAGGGGTTAAGCCAGGTTTTCAGTGCTGGGCTCTCTCTGGAGAGCTGCATCACCTCCTTAGCCCAGCACTACCAAAAGTGTGTTTCTAAGAGCCCTCCTGATGCCTTGATGCACTCTGCTCCCCATCCTGATCACCATGCTGCTCGGGGAGCTTCCCAAAGCCTGCCTGCCTCGGGTCTGCCTCTCACCTCTCTGGCGTGCCAGGGTAAGCCATCTCAGAACTCTGTCCAGGCCTCCCCCACCACAGCAGCAGCGCAGCAGCCAGTGGAAGCCTCTCTCACAGCTGCTAAAAATCCTGTGATTGTTCTCCAGAGTCCACCAGAAGCTCCTCTGCTCCCCACAGCTCTTCAGCCAGAAGCCCCCCAGGCTTTCCTCCTCCAGAGTGAGCCTGTCAGCCCTCAGTCCTTGTTACATCCTTCATCTCCTGTGGCTAAACTGGAGGCCATGGAAAACCTGGAGGGTGACAGTGAAGAGGAGATTAACCGAGGGACTGAAGAATGCATCAAGCAGTCTTTGAATGCTATTTGCACGGATCCTGCTGCCCGGCTGTGCCTGAGCGAGTTTGCGGTGGTTCAGAAGTCTGTGCAGCTGATAGGCACTGAGGAGGATGCTCTCAGCATCCAGGTCCTGGAGGATGCCCACAGGGTGGACCTGAAAGGCCTGAGCAGCTGCACTTGCCACTTCAACCAGGTCTTCCAGCTGCCCTGCCGGCACATCTTGGCTGTGCTGAATTCAGATAGGAAGACCTTGCAGCCGGAGATGCTCAGCAGACAGTGGCAGAAGGGATGTGATGCCTGTCAGGCTGGGCAAGATAGTGCTGATGGCCTCTTGGAGGTCCTGAAGAGCTCCTGGAATGAGTCTTTGGATAAATCCCTGGTGGTGTCCTTTCTCACGGCGGAGATCAGCCGGCTTCTCACCCACTGCAGCGGGGAGGAGTTTGAGCACAGGTACAGGACCCTCCGGGAGCTGGCTGACAGCTGGATTGGGCCCTACGTCAAGGTGAAGCTGTAGCACTGAGTGGGAGCTGAGCTGGCCGCTCTGTGTGCGGGTCCTCGGGAGCACCGGTGCAGGAGCCTGTTCACCACTCCACCGCGCTGGTGCAGGAGCCTGTTCACCACTCCACCGGTGTCCCGGCTTCCACCTTTACTCCCCTCAGCCTGTCACTTCCTTGGGGCTCAGCACGGAAGGGGCAGTCTAGGTCCTTTATCTGCTGATTGAGCGTTGCATCTTGCAGGGGGCAGCTGGGGAACCGGCTTGGGAACTCCTGATCATGCTGGATGGGTAACCAGTCACTGACCTGGCTAACAGATGTGGCTGGGAGCCAGCCACGGGTGGTGCGGCGTGGGAGATGATGGTATAATAACATGTGACAAAATTATTTGATCTGTGGCCAGTGCCTGCAGGTTCTTCCAGCATCCAGCTGTGACGCATTGTGCAACAAAGCCAATAAATTGGCCTTGTATCGCTTGGGAGCTGCGTCTGTGTCTGTGCCAGCTGCGGCCACCCCTCCCTGCCAACGGGACGGTGGGGTTCCGTGAGATCAGGCAGGGCTTTGAACGGTGCTTCTTGGAGGTCTTGTCTCATTGCGATGCTCTCCAGTTAGTGGAACGAGCCTGCTTGTTAGGAGGCAGCAGATCCGGAGGGTGGCAATCTCTGCTGCAGGCAGCATGGCCCATGGTCTGGAGCAGAGGAGTTGTTTGTCTGGTTACGGCAGCTGCTTTCAATTCCTCCAAAAGGGGAACCCGCCCTCCCTTGTCAACAGCTCAGTGTGCTGGGGGAGGCGGGAGGGATGCTGGGGGTCACAGCAGTGCAAACAAAGCTGCGGTGAGGTGGAGAGCAAAGGCTTTAAACACATGGGGTGGGGGAGGAAAACATACCAAGAAGAGCAAACAAGCCCTGGCCCTCGGGCGTTGCTCTCAGGCTGGGTGAGCTCCCCATCCCCTCTCACCAGTGAGAACAACCCCAGCACCCGCAGCTCCAAATCCCGTCATGCTGGGACGTGGCAGGGGGGCGTCAGAGCCCTCATTGCTGTGGTTCAGTCACCATTAGTGTTTTCTGTAATCTGCACTGCCTTTGTTAACATTTTGGTTTCGGTAGAGTTGACCTGTCACAGGAGTAGGACTGCTGCGTGGTTGGGGATTTCCTCTTGATCGAGGGTTTTGTAACATTATCTGATACTATCAAATCCCTCTGACTAAATATAGTGTATTGTTTCCTAAAACACCTTTCTGTAAACTTGGAGCTGCTTGTTTCACCCCTCAGCTGTGCTGTAGAAGAGGCCTGGAAGGCCCTGCCTGCTGGCCCCCTCACCATCTCTCTTCCTGACACGTGTGGGCACCCCTCCAGTTTTCGGAGGGCTCTTCCCTTTGCCTCTTGCTCTGCACAGCTCTGACCCTGCCTCCCCTCCCAGCCTGGCACAGGCGCTGCAGTAACGCCAGCTGCCATCCCCACTGGCCGGAGGATGAGGGGTCTGGAGGAGGGCCCGGTGCCAGCTCCTGGAGCTGGGGAGCGCAGGGATCCCATCCCCAGCCGGCAAGGTCACCGTGACTGGCTCTGTGGCTGAGCAATGAGTGCTGTAGCATGGCTCCCTGGGTGCTGTGGGTTTCCCTCCAGCATCCTCCCTGCTGGGAGCACAGGAAATAACTCATCCCCACTCTCAGGGTAAACATCTTTCCCAAGAACGAAACTGCCTGGCTGGGACAAGCACTTGGCTGTAATTTACCCTCTGCGTGAGCATCAGGCTGTTCCCTCCTACGCTGCGCCTGGCCCAGCCCTTGCTCTGATCCACCCGGGTGATCCCAGCTTCGTTCATGTGCCCAGCTTCGTTCCTTGCTGGAGGGGGGGGCTGCTGAAGCATGGGGGAGTCCCATCCCCCCAAGCATGTCTTTGATGGGACTCTTCCCACCTTACTGGAAGGCAGGTCCCCTGAAGCAGCCCCTGCAGCCACATGAAATGCCCTGACATGGAAGGGGAAGAAAGTCCCCTTGGCTGAGGACAAAAAACCCAAAACCACAGCTTCATCTCACAGACAGGAGCTGGGCAGCACCAGTGGTTAGCGCAGCCCTGATGGCAGGAGGCTGTGGTGCAGGTCAGGCAGCAACCCCTGCTGCCCCTGCCTTGCTTTATGCACCAGCACTCCCCAGAGTGTGTTTGCTTTCTAGCTGGAAGCTCTTTATTGCTCGTTCTGCCCAGTACCACCCTCCTGACTGCACACCGGCCCTGTCACACCCATCTGCGTGGAGTGAAGTCCCTCTGGTTCTCTGCCGCGCTGCCCATGCTCTCGTGTCAGCCCTTCAGCAGCATATGCTGTGCATCCACTCACCCTGGGGGCGAGGGGGCTGCATGCCGGTGGGTGGGCAGGGGGAGGCATAGGGGCAGTGGGGGGCATAGGGCCCAGGCAGCCTGCTGGCCATCTCTGGTGGGGCTGTCAGCACGGGGAACAGCCCGGGGCAGTGCCCTCGACACCTCACTCATGTTTGCAGAAGCTCTTTAGCAGCGGGGGCAGGTCCAGGCCGTCAATGGCCAAGCGGTGGACAATGTGCTTCTGGATGACCAGCCGGCAGAGAGTCTGCAGGGAGGGAACTGGAAGAGAACAGAAAGAAGCAGCTGAGCTCTCTGGTGGGGCTGTCAGCACGGGGAACAGCCCGGGGCAGTGCCCTCGACACCTCACTCATGTTTGCAGAAGCTCTTTAGCAGCGGGGGCAGGTCCAGGCCGTCAATGGCCAAGCGGTGGACAATGTGCTTCTGGATGACCAGCCGGCAGAGAGTCTGCAGGGAGGGAACTGGAAGAGAACAGAAAGAAGCAGCTGAGCTGGCCGAGTCACTGGTGAGGCCAAGAGCAGAGGGCTATGGAAGAGATGGGCCCCGAGGCTCCCCAGGGGAGTGAGGTCTCACATGCCCATGCTGCATTTTCCTTTCACCCCACTCCTATGGTCCGCTTACACCAGCGCTGGTGTCAGGCTGCCGGGTGGGTGCCTGCAGGCTGGGGCTGTGCTGCCTGCAGAGACCGGTGATAACTTTGCAACAACCATCCTCTGAGCCATTCCCGTGGCCACCCGCAGAGGCTCTGCCCTGTTCCTGTGACACGCGTCCCTGTGGGATTCCTCTTTCTGGAGCCCTTGGTGGCTCAGCAGCGTGGGTGCAATTAGCTGCGGCCAGCGCTCTCCTCAGATTTTAAATAAGAGCTGACTCAGGCACAGCCTGTGGGCCTTGGTTCATCCGCTGCCTCCAAGAGCCAAACCGGAGCAGAGCACCCCAGGCCAGAGCGGAGACGCAGGTGGGACCCGGCTGTTTCTCCCGCTCGCAGCTGAGCACCTCTCCAGCTGTGGGGCTGGTGCCTTCGGGGACTCGTGCCAGCACTGGGCAGAGCTGAGCTCTGCCGAGCACAACCCCGCTGGGCCCAGCTGGCTCCCGACCTTGGGGCTGTTTTTGGATGGCTGGAGGGCTTATCTCTGCCTCAGCGGCACAGGGCTGCATGTGCCGAGTGCTGGATGATGGGTGGCAGATGCCCTTTGCCTCTCCTGTCCCCCCCGTCCCCCTCACCGCATTGCACATTGCCAGCAGCTCCGCTGCTCACTTCTGGTTTTCACTTCACCAGCCAGACCCTGCCCCAGAACAGAACCGCACTGAGACTAATTCTTAAACCCTGCGGAAGTGTTGCAAAAGCCAGAGCTACTGAAATCTTAGTGGAGGGGAGGAAGCCAGATTGTGCCTCTGCAGCGGTGCCTGTGCCAGCCATGGTGCTCATACGGATCCACAGCCCGTGGCCACGGCAGGAGGGGGCAGCTCTCCCAGAGGTAGGTGCTGCCAGCACCAGTCCCTTGCGAACGGCCGGGGATGGGCTCTCTGAGGCGACTCAGCAGCCTGCTGTGGCATGCTCCATCTAGTCGCCCCAGGGACTCTCGGGCACATTTAACCTCCCTGTTCAAATAATCCAGCTCACAGCAGCTGGCAGGGAGAATCCTGGATTTCAGCCTTGAGACAGAAGCAGCTGAACTTTGCACCAGCAAGAAAAGCGGTGGCTCCCAGCAGTCAGGGGCAGCCAGCACCCAGGCGCTAGCTCTCCTCCTGGCTCTCACCTAATCCTCAGCATCTGCTGATTTTTCCAGTATGGTGCTAATTAACTTTTATTAGCCTGATTCCTCACAAGACCCAGC